CCCCTAATATTAAAACCAAACCGCCGAAATCGGAGTTTTAATATTAGAGGGAGGGGGGGGGCCCTTTAATAATAGGGGGAAGGGATTAATCATGAAAATAATACAAACAATTACAAGAATTAAAATCAACCTTATTTTAATTATTTCTATTTTTATAATTAATTGTAATTATTTTAATTATTAAAACAATAGAAATAGTTAAAATAATTAAAATGTATAAAATCAACCTTATTTTAATTATTTCTATTCTTTCTATTATTTTAATTATCTTAATTATCAAAATAATAGAAATCCACCCCACCACACCCCGCCCCACCCACCCCACCCCATCCCGCCCCACCCCACCCCACCCACACCCTCGCTGCCAGCGCACAGCCGGGGTGTGGAGTTTCCAAACTAGGTACTGCTTGCGTGAAACAGAGAAAAACAAAAAAAAAATACAGGAAAAAAAACAAAAAAAAATACCTAAAAAAAATACGACCCCCTAACCTAATATCCAGAGTTCAGGTTTCGGGTTGAAGGGTGTGGTTCGGGCTGGGTTGGTAGAATGCGTGTTTAGAGCCACACTCGCAACACCCAAGCCAGGACCCGAAGACGATAAGCTGGGGTTCAGGAGTGGTTCAGGCTGATGATAGAAGGGCTTCGTGCCCTAAGCCTTGAATCACTCAAGCCTGAGTATGGATTCAAGCGGCTATTGGGAGCAAAACCCAGGCGCAGGTCGTTGTTTGTGCCCCGGATGTAGACGTACCTTGAGCTCTATTGTTCCGGGAATAGGGTTGAAGCTTTTGGGGGTAGCCGAGAGAAAAAGGTTGGGAATAGGGTACAGGGTCTAGGGCCTAGGGTTTAGGAAATTGGATCTCGGGTTTAGAGAAAGATCGGCTGTCACTGGCAGCACCAATCCTGCAAAGAAACAGCACCCTCCAGCACAAACAGAATCCCTTGCGCCTGCGCCGCGACGGTTCGTCGAGAGAAGTGGGACAAAGAGGCTCTCTGTGCACTGTCACAAGCGTGACATACATCTTCACGTTTACACCTACACCCCAGAATTCCGCGAAGGCGAGAGCGACCCTCATCCTAAACCCCAAACGCCTGAACTCAAACTGGAAGACCCTAATGAGTAGGTCCCTCATGGGTAGGCTCCCCAAACTCCGAATAGCCCTGCCATCCCAAGAGTGTTTTCTCCATACAAACCCAAACAAACACATTCTCCTTGCCCCTCTTCCGGGCCAGGTGCCGGTTTTGCAACTCCCGGAAAGCCGCGGTGTTGAATTCGGGCTGCGGCCGGGCTTCGGGCTTGGGAGACTCCGGTCAGACTCTCTGCGTTCGTTTGCTGTTCCTTCTTCTGGCGTCCGTGTCTTATGCCCGTAAACGTCGGCAAACTTTTCTTGGGGCTTCAAGTCCGGTTTCTAGCCGATTCAGGGCTGGGGGCGTGAAGTCCAGGCTTTGGGCGGGCCGAGCTTCTTTCGGAAAGATGTTGTGGCAAGACCCGCATGTGAGCAATGTTGTCTTCGAGCCATATAGGAGTCTGTATCTGTTCAATACGGCGGATCATCCAGAACATTTGTATAGATGTCGCGCTGACCCTGAAGGTTTCACGTCATGACCAAATTACTCTCCAATTTGCCCTTCCAGTGCACTACGCGCGTCCCCATGATCCTTTCAAAGGTGAGGCCTTGAGAGTGATGGTTCAGGGCTTGGGACAAAATCGTGTCGTAGAACTGAAACATAAAAGAAGCTGGAGCTCTTCGACCCCAGCCCAGGATGCTCCAAGGTCCCGCACAGCGTAAGGAACTTGAACGGTTTATGTTTTGAAGGTTCAGCGCTTCGCTGAGGATTCTTTTTAAACGTTGGGGGTAGGGTTTTGGCCTGACAGTCAGAAAAAGGCTGCGCAGAAGGATCCTCCTTGGATCCTCAACTCGAAATCCGAGACTCCAACCCCAGAGCCCCCCTTGAAATCCTAAGAACGTCGGGCCGGTATTCAGAATCCTGAGGTACGCAAGCAAGCAGGATCAGGCTGAAACCTTAAGCCCCCAACATCCCCCTTTCCAAAAAAAGAAAATTACGAAACAATGCCCTCGAGCTCGGCGAGGGGCTCGATTTCGGGTGGTAATTCGGCCCAGAAAGCAGGGAGTCAAAATTCCTTGGCCAAAGCGCTGCTTGCCAGGAAGACTATCCAGCTCGCATCGAGCATGAACACCCACCCATCCTTTACTTGCTATTTCTGCTGGTGCTCTTGCTGGTGTAGATGATGCTGGTGGCTCTATCGGCATCGGTGTTGGCATTATTGTTTGATTTTGTTCTAAACCTTAAACCCCAAAACCCTAAGCTACAGGATTTCGGCGAATGCTCGAAGCTCAGACATTGATGCTCTGCGGTGACGAATGACGATCTACGCCTGGCACATTCGAGATCCTGTCTCCTGTGTCTCCCCCTAAACTCCAAATCCTAAACCCTCAAAGGGACCCGTATCACACAATTGAAGAAGCCCTTATACAATCCTCAAACCCTACAGCAACCCCCAAAAGGATTTTTAGCAAAGACTTAGGAAGCCCCTTGTGCAATCCAAAAGCAACCCGAAAGCTCAAAGCTCCGGGGTCCCAACCCGAAGCCCCCTCTCTTGCAAATCCACGCGGCCTGTGGGCACATCGCACGTCATTCGCGTCAAGTATCCTGGGTGCAGACGTAGAAGGAACCCTGTCTTTGCCAGCTTCCGGATTTATTTAGAATGAAAATAGTTTATATTTATTAATTATATTGCTAGATCATTTGCGGGTAGCACTGCCGACAACCCTGAACCTTCAGACATCAAGCTCTTGACCAGCGGATCGTTCACGGTCCACCAAGAAAAACCTGACCTCGCCCGGGGTGAGCGCTCTGGTGCGATCAACTTACTGCGTCGTGGTGGCTTGGGCTGTCGGGTGGCAGGTTCCTAATCCCAAAACCCAGAACCCCAGACCCTAAACCATCGAGGGTCGGCAGTCGAGCCTACGTGAGGCGACACGCAGTGAAATTGACTCCCAGGAAGTCTTAAACCCTTACCTTCAATGCACCAGGTGACGGGGAAGCGAGGTCGTCTGGCAGTAGATCCTGGAATTCGGCTTGTCGAAGCTGAAAGGGCCGAAAGCCTACATAACTAAAATCTTCAGCGGGCTGCGAAAGGGTCTTGATTCAGGCCTTGGGGCTCTGGGATTGCATGTTTGAAGGCTTCAGTTGTTGGATTTGGGGTGCTGGTGTCCTAGCCTCCGAAGCGGGCTCGGGGAGGGCCTTGTGATCTCTCGAAGACTTCACTCCGCCAGAAATCTCTGCACATGCGCCACAATCGGATTCCTGCTGTTTGGAAAAACACAAGGGCTGGGGCGTCTTAGGCTGAGGCATTGGGTGGCTCTGCATCCTCAACCCAGCACCGCCAAGCCCCCAACCCAGCACATCCCACACCGTACATCCCCATGCCTAAAGTCCAGCCCCCTCGAATTTCAACCCCGAAGACCCCGAGCCCCTAGCCAAGACCCGTGCGAAACGGCTGGCGAAGCCCTTCGGAGTTCGGAGCCGGCTCGAGGCGAAGCCGGGGTGTTTTAATTGTAGGGACAGGGATGTCTTGCAGCCGACGGTACAAACCATCGACAGGGCTGATGGCGCAGGCGAGAAAGCACTCACCCGGAGAGGTGCTGCATAATGGCCTTTGGTAGGCTGTGGAGAGCTTGATGAGGGGGCTGGGCTGTCGCAAAGCTCTTCGAAGCTTTTGGGGCTGAACAGCCTCTTGGTTTCGGATTTGGGGGCCAGGTTCGTGGCATGTCATGACCCTCCAAAGTGCACCAAGTGTCTGCTCCCAAGGTGCGCTCAGGCCCAAATGAAGGGTCTTAAAAAATCCATGCACGGCCGCCTCCCGAAATCATGCTGGCATGTGCTCACCGCCGTACACTGAGGTAGTGGCAGTGAGAAAGTTCTCGTGGGGCGGTGGAACTGAGGCACTGGTAGTGGTATGTGTATGGGCGGGGATACTACTGTGCGGACAGACTTCAAGGACAGAATAATCATAAAGCTCCCAACATGATGTTCTGCACAGGAAATCCGAAATCCCCAAAACCAAGCATGAACCCTTCGGCCTGAAACTCCACGGCCCGAATCAACAACTCCTACAATCTACATAGCATCTGCAAGAACTGACCAGTATCTTCAAGAAGACGCAAGGATTCTGCGAGAGCCCAAGAAGCAAACCGACCCTTCTTAACCTGGAGCCAAGCCAGGAGTCTCGTACTGGCCGGTCGTGACATTCAGGCCCTGCGATTGGGGGGTTTAGGGTTGGGCTTAGCTGGGGCCCCAAGTGCCCGATAAGCAGGACTTGGCAGCTCCGCCTACTGCTTGCAGGACCACCGTGATTTCTGATTCAGGGTTGATGATCTGGGGTTTTGACCAGTGGACACTGCGGGGTATTGGCTGGGACTGGGACTTCTTTTCATAAGGCCGGCAAAGCGGACACCTGAAGAAGCTGTTCGCAGGTTGGGAGCTTGAGAAGGCTCAGGCCGCTACGGTCGGTTGGCCCAACCGGCGGAGCACATTTTTTTTTTCCTAAGGCTGGCGGTCCCCGGTCTCCCTTGCTAAGGTTGGCGGTCCCGTTTTAGTTAGAACTACTATGCACTGCAGCATTTCCTATTGTTTTGCATCTAGCTATTAGGCAACTGCAATTAGCAGGGTGGCCTTTGGCCGCCAGCTATTGGGGAATT